TTTCCCAAATGCCCCCAAGAGCCCTCAGTTCCGCTTCAAGGCGGCTCGAAGTGGCCACGGAGCTTCCCAAAACGTCCCCCAAGAGGCCCCACAGCAGAGCCCAAGAGGCTCCCAAGAGAGCCCCAAGAAAGGTTCCAGAAAGTGAGCGTCGTCGCCATCGCCGCCGCCGCCGTCATCGTCGTCCCCCTTCAGGGTCGGCGGCACCAGCCGCAAGGCCTTCCCAATAATACAGTCAAGCAGACCATGGCCAGCTCAGAAGACAACCAGATCTCAAGCCTGATCCACTGCGCTGGAGATATTTGTGAACCTTTTCTTATTCGGCGTTTCGACTTTGGGCTGAAGGCATGAGGGGAAGGGGGGTCTGGCTCCGGACCTCTGCTTAACGCGACTGTGTGCAACGGTGCGTCCTGTGAGGGAGACTCCACCTGCCTGAAACAGGCGCCAAAAACGGCGAGGATCTACCCCATGGGGGGGGGGAGGGGGGGGGGCAAAGGGGGAGGGGGGGGATGGAGGGGGAGGGGGGGGGAGGGGGGGGGGATGGAGGGGGAGGGGGGGGGAAGGGGGGGAGGGGGGGGGGGGTTGGAGGGGGAGGGGGGGGGGAGAGGGGATGGAGGGGGGGGGGGGGGGGGAGGGCCCGCGCCGATCGGAAAAACAACGAAAAAGAAAAATAATACATACATACATACAGACAGACAGAAAGACAGACAGAAAAACATACATACATACAGACATACACATATATTATATGTATATACAAATATATATATATATATATATATCACCTTCTGGTCTGGCCCATGTATGTCTGAATGACTTCATCTGTTGGCCGTGGCCCTGGCCGAGGCTCTCGACGACTCGCTCCCCCGGACCGCTTCCTGCGGGCCCCGAGGGCTGGCTCCCCGACGCGGGCCGTCGTTGGGGAAATCGCGAGGTGCCGATACCGCTGCTCCCCGGACCTCTCCCGGGGTGCGTACGGACCGGGATTTCGAGGCGAATCCAGCCGCAGCGACGAGGGCCTCCCAGGAGGCCCAAAAAGGGGAAAAACGAGCGAAGGGAAGCGCCTCCGCGGAATCCCCAGGACCGTCGTTTGCGGGACCCCGCAGGACTGGCCCCTCGTCGCGGGCCGTCGTCTGCAAGCCCTCAGGCCAGAAAAAAACGGCCCCCTCGCGCGAACGAAATGGGAGGCCACGAGTCCGCCGTGGGGCGCTGGAGGTCGGGGGCACAGCGGCGGCCGTGACTCGTCATGACCCGCGCTCTCGACCCCATCTGGACACGGCACGCGTCGAGCGCGGTCGGTCCGCGAGGTCCCCCGGGTGCCGAAGCAGCGCGGAAGATCATGTTTCTTGACGAACGAACAGCGCGCACACACACACACACACACACACACACACACACACACACACACACACACACGCCCATACCCTCCAGGGGGGTCGGAGAGAGGAGGACTGGCTATCGGGATGGGTGCGGGTTGTCGGAACCCGGGTGGGGCTCCCGTTCGCGCGGGGAGCACCATCCCACAACACGCACCCATAGCTCCCTTCGTCCTCGCTACAGTGGGACCCAGGCCAGAAGAACATCCTTCAAGACCATGAGACCCTCCGTCGGCCAGAGCAAACAAAATAACGAAGGGTACCCTCCCCAGGATGCACAAGAGCGCCCAACAAATACGAAGAAGATTAGGGTACCCTCCCAGAGTCGACCTCGATGGTCTACCGCGGGCCGACTTTGTGTGCAGCGGTGCGTGCTCCTCTTCGTTCCGCACTGCCGCTGCGTCACGGCGCCCCGAGGTCGCGGCGCAGACCTCCGACGCCGTCAAGTTCGACCGAGGGTGCTCTCGAACCCTCCGCCGCGGGAGCGGCCCCTCGCCCCGGGACATCGTTTTGCTCGATGGCCCTCAGGGCCGAGAGAGCAACCAGAAAAAACGAGCACCATCCCCTGCAACAAGGGGCGTCGGTAAACGGGGCGGTGGCTAAGGGGGCCTCGTCGAGCGACAACGCGGCGACGTTGCATCTACCTCGCACAAGTGCGTGATACACCGGGACGACAAAAACGTCGAAACGTCATCCTGATTCTGGGCGGGGGGGGGTACCTCGCTCTCGTGCGCGGCAAGGCCCCTTTTGATGCACACGGAGGACGGAACGTGTCTGATGGTTGCCAGCGCGGGCCCCCAACAGCGGCGACATGGACTCTCGGCTCGCAGAAACCGGAGGTCTGGGTCCTCCAGCGGTCCGTGGGGGCCTCTGGAGGCCTCCGGGGCCCTCGGGAGGCCTGCGCAGGCACCCCTTTGGGGGCACACCGGGGACCGCGCGTGTCTGAGGTTTGCCATCGCGGACCCCAAGCAGTGGCGACATGGACTCTCGGCCCGCAGTAACCGAGTAGCTGTGGTGCAGCTCGCGCGCGATCCGATAGATGTGTTGCAGTGTGCATGGTGCAACGTATGCGATGCAATCAATCACTTGCTCAACTTGAAGTTGTCCTCTCAACTGCTCGTGCAGACATCCCACCCTCCCACCCGCAACTTGGTCGAAAGACCTCTTAAGACCGTGACGGTAGGTACCAAATGGCACTTGGCAACGACACCGACGCCGTCGAAAGCGACAACGACGACGACGACGCCGCCAACACCGACTACGACACCGACGACGTCTCCAACGACTTCGACGACGACGACAACCACGACGACGACGACGACGACACCGACGACGACGACGACGATGACGACGCCGACTTCGGCGACGCAACAAAGACAACGCCGCCGACGACGACAACGCCGACGACGACGACGAAGACGACGACGCCGACAATGACAACGCCGACGACGACGACGACGACGCCGACGACGACGACGACGAGAAAGAGGACGACGACAACGTCGCCAACGAAGACAACGACGACGACGAGGGAGGAGGGAGGACGACGACGGCGACAACGACGACAACGACGAGGGAGGAGGGAGACGGCGACGACGCGAACGACGAAGAAGGGAGGAGGACGGCGACGCCGACGACGACAACGACGAGGGAGGAGGGAAGACGACGACGACGACGACGGCGACGAAATAGGAGGGACGACGACGAGACGCAGACCACGGACGACGACGACGACGACGAGGGAGGAGGAAGGACGACCACGGCGACAACGACGACGGAAACGACGACGACGCGAAAGAGGACGACGACGACGACGACGAGGTGAGACAGAGGACGACGACGGCGACGACGACGACGACGACGAGGGAGGAGGGAGGACGGCGACGACGACGACGACGCAAAAGCGCGCGCGCACGCTTTTGTTGAAAATCCGTGTTGCGAAACCTTGCGTTTTCTGTTTTGGGGGCACTCGATTTTGAAGTCCTTCCGAAACCGAAGGCTTTTGAAGGATTTCGGCATGCGCGCGACGACGCGCGCGCGTGCACTTCGTCACATGTTTTGCAAAGGATTCTCGCGACGGCACGCGCGCAAGGGCGTTCGAAAGATTTCGACATGCGCGCGCGAAGCCCGTTTGGTAGTATGTTTTGACAATATTGAACACACCTATGGTTTTCTCAAGATTTCGTAAGAACGCGCGCGTAATCTTTTTTTGTGTCAAAAACCGTGTTGCGAAACGCTGTGTTTTTGTATATGTTTTGAGGACTCGATTTTGAAGTCCTTCCGAAACCGACTCTTTTTGAAGGATTTCGGCATGCGCGCGCGACGACGCGCGCGTCCACTTCGTCCCGTTGTTTGCAAAAGATTATTGAAAACTTACGATTTGTTATAAAACATGCGCGCATAATATTGTTTGCGCAGGATGACGTGGGGTGTCGATACCGGCCTGGCTGGGATAGTATGAATTCAAAGGTAGGATGGACATTGGGTCAGAATCCTATGTGTTTTGCATCGGTTCCCGGGGGGTCTTTAACCCCAGGGGGGGAGGGTGGTAGAACCGATTCTCTTTTTAAAAAAAGGAGAATCCATGTGGAACAGAATGCGGGCGGGGTCTGCGCGGAGCAATGCGAATTAGACTGCAAGATATGCGCTGCAGCCCATATCGTGCAGTCCACAGGGCGCAGCTGTGAGGTTGCAACGTACAGTACTCGGTGCAATATATGTGGTGCAACGCATGCGGTGCAATAGAATGGTCGCAAGCCACGTGGTGCAAGCTACGTGGCACGAAGTACACGGCGGAAAGTATACGATGCAGCTAATGTGGCACAATCAACGTGGTGCATCCTGCATGGTGCAAGCGATGTGGTGCAATCTATGGAGTGCAGTATGCGTGGTGCAATCTACGTGGCTCAACCAACTCCGTCATTCACGCGCTGACGCACTCCAATGCTCGAGCGCACATCCCTCCCACTCACATCCTACTTGTTGGCAGAACACCAGGGACCTTGGATGCAGGTATCTATCATAGTTTGTTCTATAATCTGAACAGGCGCCGTGGCGCGCGGACCCCTCTGAAACGAGGACGAGGAGTAGCGTTATGGGTACCGTTTCCTTCTCTGGCCCATTTCGGCCCACCAGGCAAGAAAGCCATCGACCCAAGGGGTGGCGACGGCCGGCACGGGTCCTCGGCAACCCACCGCTTCTCGTGGCATCAGGCGGCCGCCGGCCGCAGCAGGGCGAGGCAGGCCGCGAGCACCAGCGTCACGGGGGCGCGGAGCGCCATCGCGGCGGCGGACTGCCAGTGTAGCGGTAGCGGAGGGGCGAGCGGGCCGAGCAGGCTTGAGCGAGGGCGGGGGGGCGGGGTGTGTCTGGACACGCGTCTGCTTTCCACTTTGCGCGGCCACCCTCGTCTTCTGTCGTTCCTCTTGCACGCAGGACAATTCGCCCTTCGGTTGCCCCGATACACTGGAGCGGACTGATTCTGCCTCGCCGCCGACGAAAAAGAGTGTTACTTTCCTCTCGGTAAGAGGGGGCGAGGGGGCGGGGTGGGGAAAGCAGGCCTGAGCGAGGGGGAGGGAGCCGCGCGCGCGACTGAGGGGAAGGGGGCGGGGGGGGGGCAATGTGGACGTGATGGCGCCATATCTGACATTCTACTCTTCCCACTCATCCCTTCCGATGAAGCTGAGTTTTCTTGATCCGTCGACTTTTCTTGAAGCTGGAACCCCAAAAATGATACCATCGAGTTATGCGCACTCGGAAACGGGGAGCTGTGTACATCGGGCAAGGAGGTAGCGTTTGAGCAGGAAGCACGGCATAGAGCTGCGCAATCGCTGGGAAAACAAATAAGGGGGGGCACCCATCAGGAAATTCTGCAGCAGCCTGGACTTGCCACGCTTGGTAGGCAATGGGCCCACAGACCCGCATACTCCCACTACGCAGCCGTGCGAGCGAAAAGGGAATCTCAGCACCAAGAGATTGGACGAAATACGCGTCGTGCTAGCTGCGTCAACACAACCTTGGACAGAAACTCAGAAATGGGCCTTCGAGGGCCGAGAGCTCCCGCGACAACGCGACCATCGATGGAGCAAACCTCGAGAGGGAATCGAAGGGCACGGCGCACAGACTTTGCCATTCCACTCCGGCACCAAACCAGTGCGGAGTCAACTGCGCGGGACTCTGAGCCGAGCCTAACGCAGGAATCCGCCCACCCGTTGCCCAGATAATTTCGGACGTCGTCGGGGGGAGGGGCCTTCCACGACATGAGACCACTCGGCGCTTATCACTGTTACTTTTTGAAATACACCCCCTCCCCCAGGCGACCAGGGGCCAACCAGGCACCATGCCGACACCATGCCCACCCGCCCCCCACCATCCCTGTCAAAAAACAATACAAACCGCACTCTGCCTCCACATTTGGAGCATGCGCGACCAAACCGACGCGGCCCCCCCACCATCCCTGTCAAAATCAATGCAAAGTACACTTTTGGGCAAAGTCTTGAGTCATGTTCGTGAGGTCCGCGAGCACTTCGTATTGTTTTTGACAAGGGCGGCGGGAGTGTCAGCATATTCCCTGCTGTGCGCAGGACTACCATCCCTGACAAAAACAATACAACATGCACCTCGCGGCTAAATCTGGATCATGCGCGGCCATCCCGCGATCACTGTCAAGCGATTTTTGACAGGGACGGCGGGGGTGGTGGCGCGTGGCCTGCTGTGCGCAGGCCCAGCAGACACAATGATGGGCATCGGTTTTCGACAAGGATGGAGGGGGCCGACATGTTTCCCCGATGTGTGCTGTCGCGTGCGCAGGCGCACCTGACGCACTCTGCACGTGTCCCAACGCGGCGCACCTGGCGCGTGGCGCGACTGGAGTGTGCGGCACACCTGGCGCACTCGGAGCACGTGGCGCATGTGGCGCACCAGGCGTGCCTGGCACGCTCGGGCCTCGAGAGGGAGCCCCGAGAGGGCCCCAAGTACGCCCAAGAACGCTCCAAGAGCGGCTCAAGAGGGCACCCAGACGGCATGTTGAGCCTCCGAAGGGGGGACCTGAATTCAGGACCCCCCTCTTTGGGACTCATGGGGGCCAAGATTGCCTCAAGAGGCCCCAAGAGGGTCCCAAGAAGGCCCCAAGAGGGCCACAAGGCTTTCAAGGCGGCTGTTACAGTGCACGCGTCTACACGTCCCTCATCAAGGCAACTCGCGTAAAGATCTGCTTCTGAACGGGCTGGTGGGAATACTTTTTGGTCGCGGCCGCGAGCGAAGAGGCAGGCGGCGGGCAAGGTGTCCGGGCCAACGAACAAGCCTCATTAGCTACAAGAGGCGCACTAGCCGGCCGGCCCACTCACAAAGCAGCCGCGAGGCAGGCTGGTGGGAATACGCGAAGCGTTAAGAATTCCTCCTCCTTCCTCCTCCATCCTTCCCCTCTCCCTCTCCCTCTCCCTCTCCCTCATCCTCCTCCTCCTCCTCCTCCTCCTCCTCCTCCTCCTCCTCCTCCTCCTCCATCTACTCCTCCCCCTCCTGCTCCTCCTCCTCCCTCCTCCTCCTCCTCCTCCTCCTCCTCCTCCTCCTCCTCCTCCTTCTCCTCTCCTCCCCCCCTCCCTCCTCCTCCTCCTCCTCTCCTCCTCCTCCTCCTCCTCCTCCTCCTCCTGCTCCTCCTCCTCCTCCTCCGCCTCCTCCTCCTCCTGCTCCTCCTGCTCCTCCTGCTCCTCCTCCTCTTCCTCTTCCTCCTCCTCTGATTCCTGCCCCATCCTCCCCCTCTTGGGGAATGGTATCTTACGCTGCCTTTTGTTCCACTGCATGCTCCTCCACATCCCTAATCAGGGCAACTCGTCTGGGCATCGGCTCTGAATGGACTATGGGGGTACGCGAAGCGTACAGAATTGATGTCAGCTCACGGCGGTGTAGAAACTACAAACGCGCGGCTCGGCGACTCAGGATTTACTCGGCCCCGATGCGCCTCCAACTCCTGCTTCTGCCCCTGCTCAAGCTCCTCTCTGCTCCCCACCCTGCAACGCTCAGACTCAGGGGCATCATGCGCATCGGATTCCTGTTCGTGCTCCTGATCTTTCTCCTTCTCTCACTTCTCCTCCTCCACAATCTATGGTGCATATCCCCAGATTGGCATATGTGTGACACAGAGTGCCAGAATGGGATACATGCATGCAGGCATGACAGTCCAGGTTTAAATGCATGACGTACTCAATCCCATTGCCACTGGGATTGTGTTCTGGTTATTCCCTCGTATCCACGTGCTGCGATTGCGCTTTGGTCCATGTAATACTTGGAATGCTGTGTGCAGGACGATTGACAACATCAGGGTAGATCAGGCCAGCCTTCTCCAGATGGGAGGCTGCTGGCCCCCCCCCTGGCTCACCGATAAACTTGCCGACCACCACCCCCGGAAGGTCTTCGTGGGAACGGCGAAGGCCGACCAAGTCCGATTAAGGGGCGGTCAAACTGGGTGCAGCATGAATGAGAATCATACTGAGCCCGAGAAACCTGGATCGCAACAGATTTGGCCCGATTAGAGAAACGAGTGCCGATGATGAATTGAAGCTCCCAGGAGTTACAACAGGAGGTAAGAGACTCGGGCCAAAAGCCAGGCGGCGTTATCGTCGACCTCCCTTGTTGCCTCGTCTAACCAAGGTTGCCGTTCGTACCTGCACTTGTTCTGTGGGCACGATCCTCGACAAGCTCACCGATCCGTCGTGCCGAGAAACAACCCTGCCAACCATCGCTACCTCGAGGTGCCAGCATTGGCCCTACTGAGCGCCGATTGTCACAACTCCGCATGCGGAGGCGCAAATGGCAAAGCCGCGCCTGTTACGGAATGCTCACCAGTGGCACTACAGCAGGAGCCACATGACTACCATCAGCCTGATGGAAAGATGCGATGTCGAGCCTTTCCCGGTCAGAGTCCTTTTACCCAACGTATGCCGCTCCGCCCTCCCCAGCCCACAAGCACACCGCCCCGAGGCAGCGAGGACGTCCGCCACCGTGTCCCCTGACAGATGGAGGCCTGTCAGAAAGCCTAGGGCTGTCAGGTAAGGTTCCTGCAATCTCCTGAGGGGCGACGCCCCCGGGGGCCGCGCTCACCCGCATGGCACCCCCCCCTCCAAGGCAACGAAAACATTGATCCGCGCTCCCGAGGCCACGATCCCTCGAACAAAAAAAGATCCGCGCTTCCAAGGTCAAAATCTCTGGCAGAAAGCTATGGATCTACGATCTCGAAGCCACGATCGCTTGTATAAAACGAGGCCAGCGCAACCCTAATTAGAGCATTCATTGCTTCCAAAACAATTCAAACCAGTTCTGAGCATGCGACGCAGCGCAGTGCAAATTATTGTTTGGTAGTACTTGGATATTGGCGTTGGTTGACATTACTTCGCATTGTTTCGCATTGCTTGCCATTCCTTGGCGTTGCGTGAAATGGCTTGCCATTGCTTTAGTTTGCGTGCGTGGATTGAAATTGGCTGGCTGGCATTCCTTGGCATTCCTTGGCATTGCTCGGCGATGGCTGGCCCGACTCGGCATTGCAAAGACCTGGGCGCCCATGCAACAATACAGGGTAACCCAAGGAGCAAGACCGGGGAACCAGAGAAGGGAAGGCAGAGAACGAAACCAGGAAACCGAGAGAGAACCTGGGAACCAGAGCAACAAGACCGAGGAGCCCGAGCAGCGTCTGAAGGTAGCCGAGACCAGGGAACCGAGCAACGGCGGGGGCCGCGTATGAACTTCCACAAAACAAGTCGGAACTCCCGGGGCGAGTCCTAACAGGGGGAGGATGGATCCGCGCCCTCGAGGCCGAGGCCACGATCCCTCGCAAACGAGAGTTGGGTCCACCTTCCTGAGGCCGCACACACTTGGAAGCAAAAAGCGAATCCGCGCTCCCAAAGCCACGATCGCTTGTTCAAACAATGCATCCGCGCTCCCGCGTCCACAATCCCTCGGAAACAAGTTGTGCATCATCGCTCCCGAGCATCCAAAATTGTGGAAGCAGTCAACCAAGGCCACCACGATGGCCCAAGATGTCGCCAAGACGTTCCAATATGGCCCCAAGATAGCCCCATCTAGCTTCAAGACGGCCCAAGCGGCCCCCCTGACAGCGAGAGGGCCACAAAAGGACCCCCAGCAAGGCTCGAATACGCAACAGTAACATATCGTTACTGATCTTTGAAATATCTGGGCGTCTTCACCTCGTCGGATTTCCTTCAGCTCCAGGCGGCCCTGAAGGGCTCCAAAATGGCTCCAAGACGGGCCAGGAGGGCTCAAAACTAGCCCAATGATCCTCCAAGACGGCTTCAAGAAGCACCAGAAAGGGCCCCAAGACGGCCCGGGACGGCCAAGAGAGAGAGCCCCAAACTGAGCCGAGATGGCCTCCAGAGGGACCAAAGACGGCATCAGAGGGATCCTTTTCGGCCCAAGACGGCCTCAAGAGACATCCCAGACGGACATGGGGGCCCCAACACGGCCCAGCAGCCCCCCAAGACGGCCTAGAGCGCCCGAGACGGCCCAGGAGATCAACGCCGTGAGATTCACAGTCACCGGCTCCTATCGCCCCTCGAACAAGTGCCTCCGAGAGCTCTGGGCTGGCACGAGAGCGGGACTTGCCGCAGGCAGCTGGATAGAACCTCCCGGCCCTCACCGAAGGCTCGCGGCCCAAGGCTCCAAGCCTCATGCGCGACGTGCGCCGTGAAGTTGTGGAGCTTCGGCTTGGCACGCAGCATCTAGGAGGCTACTGTTTTGAACCATCCATTGGCTGTGTCAGCATCAGTGACGCCTGTGTGATCGGCCGAATGGTTTGTAATCCACTGCAGCGCCTCGGCCTGAGAGATGCCGCGGTGATGAGACAAATTCTCGGAGTGTTCAGCTGCATTGGCCTCCGTGATGGCGTCTGGAGGCAACCGCAGTTTCTTCTCCACGTGGACATGGTCGTAATAGAATCCCCGCACGTATGTTTCATTCGTGCCATTGGCGCCTCTCACCCTGAACACCTGGGTGTGCAAGTACACCGGGCACTCGTGCATCTTGCAGATGGTGCAACATCGCGGGTCGCAACACCCGCACTCGCACTCCTCGGCACCGGTCCGGCAACCGAGGGCAGCGGGGGCAAGAAGGTAGAAGGACAATCACAAGTAGCTCACGGATTACCTGCATGGGCCCGGCGGATGGCAATTTGACTGTACCCTCCTGTGTTGGGCCCTCGCTTGGAATACGGCCAGACCTGGGACGGAAGAACATTCTTCAAGAGCATAAGACCCTCTGCTGGTCAAACTGAAGAACATTCGAGTTTGACCTGTCCCAGAAAGCACAAGAACATCCAACAAGCACAAAGAACATCAGGGTACCCTCCCCGAGCTAAGTCCGGCCGTAGACCGATTGCTGCTCACCACCTTCTCCTCCCGCCTCGTGCCCATTCTCGTCCGTAGACCGCGTCTCGCGCTTCCATCGCCCGCCGTTCTCTCCATCGCTTTCTCTGCTCCTCTATCGCTCCCAAGGCGTGCTGCCAGGCGCGCGCCTGTCGCCACTTCCTGCGACCCCGGAGGAGCGCGGTCTTACGGGGGGGTCCTAATGAAAACTTCCCCCCTTCTGGGTGCTGCCATGCGTGCAGATGGCGCCACTCTGCTGCGCCCTTGAAGGCTCCAGCGAAGTAGTGACGCCAGCGGACTCGAAGTAGATCTCGCACACCTGTCGCCACTTTTCTGCGCCGCTGGGCGGCAGGGGGGCAGCTGTCGCCATTCTGTCGCGACCCTGGGGAGTGCAGCGGAGTGGTGGCACACGCGGGCCCAAACTGCACCTCAACCGCCCTGGGCGATGCCGAGCGTGCACCTGTTGCAGTCCTGGCAGCGCCATTCGGGGGGCGTTCCCGCAGGGTGCCACGCGCATGCGGCCCAACGAGACCTCCCCCCCCCCCCTGGGGCAGCGCCTGGCGTGCAGCCCTCGCCCACCCTGCGGCGCCCCTGGAGGGCCCCGCGGGGCGGCAGCACACACGCTGGACCTCGCCCTGCGGGGGTGCCGCCACGCGCCGCCGTGCGCGAGCCTCGCGCGCCCTCCCGGCGCCCCCTGGAGGGTCCGGCGGGGCGGCGAGCGGCGCTGGCCCAAAGTGTAGTCCTCGCCGTGCCTGGGAGCTGCGGTGCGTGCGTCTGTCGCGACTCTCGTCGTCGTCGTCGTCGTCGTCGTCGTCGTCGTCGTCGTCGTCGTCGTCGTCGTCGTCGTCGTCGTCGTCGTCGTCGTCGTCGTCGTCGTCGTCCTGTGGAGACTCAGGCAGACCCAAAGTGGTCCTCGAGCTGCCAAGCGTGCAGCGCTCGCCACTTTGCTGCGCCCCGGGCGGGAAAGGGCCGAGCTGGACCTCGTCATCCCTTGGTGCTGCCAGGCGTGCAACTGTTGCCACTGGACCTTGGCACACGCAGATCCTCCCCTGCGGGTTGGGTACGTCCCAAGGCAATTCCCAACCATCATTGCTGTTGGCTTTTTGATTTTGACTGTAACAACTGCCTCCTCGTTTGTTCGGGTGTTCCCTCTTCCTCTCCCCTTGCTGCGTCTCGTAGTCAGTGATCGTGACAGATTATCTCTATTGTCTGGTTCCCAACCTTCCCTGTGGTTGGCACCTCGTTTCGAGCCACGCATGCGTTGCTCAGCTCACCTCTCCTCCAGAACTCTCGGCCCCATCCCTGGGACGTGTTTCCCAACCATCCTGTGGTGCTGGGTCCTCGTTTTGAAGAGACAGCGCTCCGCGTCCCTCTTCTCCGCTCCTCCTCCTCCTCCTCCTCCTCCTCCTCCTCCTCCTCCTCCTCCTCCTCCTCCTCCTCCTCCTCCTCCTCCTCCCCCAGCCGTTCTGGCACAGGTGGCGACCCTGTGCTTGCACGCGCGTACTTCAGAACGGTTCGCGCGTGCGGGCCCTTCTCTCTCGAGCTCCTCAGGCCAGCGGGCACGCCCGCGGCGAATGGGCAAGGCGTGGGCTTGCGGCAACTGTGCGCGGCAGCATGGCGGGACGTTCGAGAACTACGGGTTCAGGACGCACTGCTACCGCTGCGGCCAGGCCGCCCCGCGCTCGGCTCAGCAGCAGAGTTGGCCTTGGAGGTCGGGATATGGCTATGGAGGAACAAAGCCAGAGAGGCCGAATCGTTGGGCTGCTGGCCCGCCCCGTTTTGGGCGCGGCGAGCAGAAAGCGGAGGCGGACACTCAGGCCCGAACCACTGCAGCCCCTGGAGGCGACGCCAAGATCATCGAGACGGACCCTGCGACAGCGAGGACCATGCTGGCTAGCATGGCCAAGGCGCATGGCGATGACCGCTCGAGCTGGCCTGACGACTGCAAGCAGCTTGTTGACGTCTGGGACAAGGCTGTGCAGCAGGCCGAACCAAAGGAGGACGAGGTGTACCAGGCGCCCGACTACGATAACATGTCATCGTTCCAGCTCGGGCAGCGCATGCAGGGTGTCACTCAGAAGTTGGACAAAGCCAGAGAACGACTACGAGAACGTGAGGCGGAGCTCGAAGCGGCATTGGAAGCCAGAGATGCCGAACAAGAGATCGTGCGCAACCACGAGAACAGGAGGCAGAGGATCAAAGATGCGCAGGCTGCAGCCTTCATGCGAGAAGCCGCTGATGGAGGACACGCCCAGGCCGCACATCCCGCTATTGCCCTCTGTGGACAGGTGGCCAGTCTTCAGAAGCGGTTGGGCAAGCCTGAGATGCCTGACGAGCTCGCTGGACCTCTCAAAGCACTACAGCAAGCGCTTGAGCTGCTCGAAAAGCAGCTGGCCGAGAGAGAGCAGCAGCAGCGGCAGCAGCAGCAGCATCAAGAGAATGTTCCCCATCAGCCTGTGCATGTTGATGATGATGTTGATATGGCTGCAGACATCTCTGTACCTGACGAAGCTGATTACGAAGAAGTCTTCGAGCATGCTGGACTCAAGTTGGATGGGGTCGACTCAGATGAGGAGAGTAAAAGAATCAAGGCAGCAAGAAGCCGCATGCTCGAGGCAATGGTCGCAGTCAACATGGCCGCTGTGGCAAAGCGGCGCAAAACCCAGCCCCCAGCTGCAGAACATGCGCAAGACGGTCAGTTGTGAGACTGCGAGTCATGGTCAAGTTGGCTGGGGGCGACAAGATAACTTTCTTGTGCTTATACGGGGCACTGTGAAGCGGATCTCGGAGGGCTTGGAGCAAGGTCTTCTGGACGTACACGACGGTTGTGGTCGCAAAGGTGACGCAGTGGGCCATGGACGGTTGGTTCACGATTCAGATCAGGTGCGCGTACCTATGGTAGTGCCTTTGGGAACTGGAGGTGTCTCTAGTACTGGTGGTAGGGCTGAACCCTCTGAGCTGGCTGCCGACGGGCAGGTGGTCGAAGCCCAGCTCAGAAGCGATCCGCCCTGCGGGTCCTCCGACGGGAGGTCAGCCCTCGCAGGGGAGTGCAGAGGAGGCCCTACCACCCAAGAACGACGAGTACGCGACAGCGGTGGAGCTGAACCTCCTGGTCTGGCTGCCGATGGGCAGGTGGTCGAGGCCCAGGCAGGAGGAGTTTCGCCCCGTGGGGCCTCCGACGGGAGGTCAGCTCCTGCAGGGGAGTGCAGAGGAGGCACCACTGCACATCGACTACGAGAGCGGTCAGATGGCACTGGGGAGCTTGATCCTGATGTTGCAGGGTCGACGCAATTGCGACATGAGGGAGACTGGAGTTTCGTCACGGTGAATATCACTGCGGCGCAGAAGGAAGCGGTCAAGATGGCCCTTGTAGCGACAGAGATCACGGAGATGTTTCCCAACACGGATGGCATTCTGCTTCAGGAGCACAAGATTCTCAAAGGAAATACAGGAGACGCACAGCTACGTCTACTGCATCAAGGTTGGAATTGTCACATACCGCCTGCTCACAAAGGTGAAGGACATGCCGCCAGCATTGGATTTGCGGTTGGAGTCAGACAAGATATTGCGTCGGCGGTGCCGCCCGATCTTGGGGGAGTATGCGCACCACAGTGGAGATGGGCTATGCAATGGGCTGATGGTATGCTGCCAGGTGGGTTTAGTCTTGCGTCCATATATTTGATATCAGGGCACAAGGTGCGTGACTATGAAGATGAGAACAAACGGATCATCATGCTGGTGATGGAGCAGCTACAGAGGCTTGGCAGGCCGTTCATCATAGGCGGAGACTGGAAGATGGCTCCTCAGGAGCTCTCGGACCTTAACATTCTTGCGCAGGTACCAGCGATGATAGTAGCTCCTACGCAATGGACATGTGCATGTGGGGAAGGACGTGTGCTTGACTACTTTGTGGTCAGCCAGCATTTCAAAGGGCTCATTATGGATGTGTCCAGGATTGAGGGGCTGTCGATAGCCACGCATTGGGGTGTCCGACTCTCTCTTCGTGTGGGCCCAGGTGCTGCTCTAGAACAACAGCTCAAGGTTCCAAAGAAGTTACCCAAGGTATGCCCGCTAGGCGCAGCACCCCCACCGCCATCAGATCTGCAAGTTCAGCGAGAATGTGAATATGCGACAGATCGAGAAGACCTTCATTGGTGCTTCTCTCAATGGCATGCTTTGGCTGACCAAGAACTTGTTCGGCGATTTCAACTAGAGGATCGACATGGACGAGCTTGCAGGGGTAGGGCACAGTTCACTGAGCCCGAATTCAAGATGGTGGCTGTGGTCCGCAAAGCGCCAGGTCACTCACCTCCAGGAGATCCAAGGTCCAGACAGTGGAGGCGTGCTTCAATGGTCATGGTTGATCTCATGCATGCACACAAGCGGAGTTGGCCCACAGACTGCAAGTTCATTCAAGACAGATTCAACACCATGCAGAACCTCAAGAGCAAAAGGCTAGACATGGGCGAGGCTTGGGATATATGGTGTTACAGGTATGATAACGAATTCAGTTGGGAGGATGAATGGTTGCGAGAAGCTAGCTGGACTGCGGCGAAGGAAGCTACTACTCTGGAGGTAAAGTTTGCCAATAGCCGCGTGAAGCAGTGGCGCAAGTTGATCGCGGATGTGATTGAGAACGGCGGCAAGAAGGCCCACAGATGGTCTAAGCTACCCGCCATGTGGACACAGACTGACATACACCCCAC